AAATATATATAATTATCTATATTCCGTATTGTCGCACATTAGCAATTATAAATTATTCCGTAAAGGTTGTATCACCTCTTGAGGTGTGGTAGTGCAAGCCTGTGATTGGCTCCCCTTGCTATGACGTATGTTCCCTCGTCAGGACATGACGCGGGATATAAAAAGAAAGGACCACATGCATTGAGGGACTTTTTGTTCTCCTGGGTTCGTGTCCGGTTGGTGAGGAGGAATCTCGTGAGAGTGCGAAGGTGAAGAATAAAGAACGAACCACGTGGAAAGAAGACAATTGCGTACCAAGAGAGAGACATCCAGAGGGTATCAACTATCAGCCTTCATGTAAGAATATTCCGAATATTGTGTTAACAAAAACGAATTTTAATTGTCGTGTTGGGCAATTTATGTTAGATCTCAACAATTCCAAATTGTCGCATCAGGCAGTTCATGCTAAAATCGCTCCGTTCTGTTCTTCTTGTCAGACTGAAAGGGCTACGAAAGCCCCATCGAGAATTCAATTGTAAGTGAACCTCAGATGTACATCCTTGTCTAATTAAATCTGTTTAGTGTCTTGTTAATTCGTGCTGTTTTTTTTTTTTCCTTACCCCCTTCGTTAACTTATTTCGGTATGCTACGGTACTACAATAGCAATTACAAAAATATTTTAAATTTAAAAACATCTAGGTTTTACGTTAATATTAAAATAATTTGTATAAATATTAACAAAACTTATTTTATTTCACAATGATATTTAAATTAAACATTTTTCTATAGCACTATATTATTACTCAGGTATAAAAATTGAAGGCTATGAGAGTATACAGTATTTGTATATATATGAGAGTAGAGCTATTAATAATTATATATTCTTACTTTTGCATTGGTAATGACATAATATCTTCATCAGTGAACAATCTTTCTAGAAAATCTTGTACCTCATTCAAAGAGCCTGGTCCACCCATGTTTAATAACAAAATGCCTGTCTTTGGAGATTTACTAACTCTAAAAAATTTTAAGTTATTAAAAATAAATAACTGTTTACTCAATTTTATTAATTAAATATTTAATTATTAATGTATAGAGAAAAATTACATCTCTCCTTTCTCATTTTGCAATTTAGACTTCACATCAGAAGATGAATCAGTTGAAAAGTGAACAAGTGCTGAAAATTGCCATTTTCTTGAGTTACTTTGAAATGCTTTGAAAAAATAAAACCAAAGTATAAATTTTCAGCATAAATTTTTTAAATATTAAAATGTATAATGTAATACTTAAAATTTCAATAGGGAAAATATTTAAGACTAAATTACAACAAAAAAATATTTGCACAGTGACAAACAAAACAAAATCACATACATTATACACATAGCCGTACCAAACACCCAAAACATACAAAATACATTGAAAAATTAGTAAATAGTAATAACTTGCCCATAAAATATTGTGTTTATAGAAAATGGACAATAGTCCTTTCTTGCACATGCATCATACTACATACATTACACAAGTCTCAAAACATTAAGGACACAATAGAACCTACATCACTATAAAAAAAGGCTGCCATTCTAAACGTGTCATATAGTCAGGGAATTCTTAAACACATATATATACACAAACAGCATGTAAACAAAACATTTGTTTTCTGTAGTTATGCTTTGACTTTGGTCTGACAGTACTAGACACTGGTATATATGCCATCTAGGATACATTCTAACAACACTATATAATAATAATGCTGGGTAGTAATAAAAGTCAGAAAAAAAACATTAGAAAGTTTGTCAAAAAAGCCATGAATCAACAGAAAATTGAGCTGATAGTTAGAGCAGCAGTAGTATGCATAGTCAATACTAGAAGAAAAATTTTTCAAAGTGACTCACTATCACATTTATTGTTTATTTCAAGTCTGTATACACACACAATTCTGTTTTTACATGCATTTTTTTTTTTTTACATAATTTTGACTTAACATGGCTTGAAAAACAATTCAATTCTCTTTTTACATACAATCATCCATTTATCTGATTTTTGATTAAGACCAAATGATCTGCCAGATTATATTGGGCTATAATATGTGTACAGTAATACCCCGAACTTACATGATAAGTGGGACCGAGCGATAACCGCGTAAGTCAGGGTATAATTTCACAATTTGTGTAAAATCGAAGTCGGGTGTATGTAAGCTAATAAANGTTTATGGCAAAAAACTGTGTAGTCTAGAGAATTATGGCATTGCATGCTTCAATTGTTAAATTGTTAAAGAAAATATTTCAATTTCCAGTTAATATATCAGAAAAAGGACAATTGTAATTTACTTATTGGCAAAAAAGAAAAATTGCATTTTTCTCTAATTAGAATTTTTCTAAATGTTTTATTGAAGAATTGAATTCTAAATGCAATGTTTTCTGCTGCAAAACAATATTGTGGCAATAGTGGTACTATAAGTGGCTGTATTTTAAAGTTGAATTTATGTGAAGCCATAACGTTTGAAGTGCAAGTCGTGTGACTTTTTGCATCTAAAATGTTACAGCTTATATTTACATCATTTTGATATTCCAGAGAATTTGTAATCTAGAGTATTTTTTTCTATTTTATTGATGTTGTCGAAACCATGTTGCATTTGCTTATTGTGTACAGGCACAATGAAGTGACATTTTTTTCAACACTGGGCTAGTTGAATCTTTTATTTAGTTAGAACGTTTTTTCCATACATCAACGTTTCGGGCATCAGCCCCTCTTCAGCTAACTAAATATATATAAAAATATTTAACAGGACACAAATAAAAACCAAAAAACTCACATAAATTCTTTGTAAACCATACCTCATTTCAGCATGGACACTGCACATACAGTAGAAATCAGACTACACTTAGGTTTTTTTAACATTTTCAATATCAATTTTTTATCACAATTTTAACTATACAGGTTAAAAACAAAACCTTTTCTACATTTTATCACATAAACAAGATAAACTCTGCAGATTTTAAAAAACTAAAACTTACAAATTTCAAAAGTCTTTTTTTGCCACCTCGTCGACTGATCCGACAATTTGCATATAGCACTATGTGCCGTAAGTTATACTAGT